GGTCTGGAGGTGGGAACCCAGAGAACCAGTTCCTCAGGATGAGCTCTAGATGAGCCATCGGAACACCCCATCTCAGCTCCTCCCTACTAGAATCTGGATGTGTTGTTTTTGCTATCCAGAGCTCGGTTTCCCTATCTGTGAAATGGGGTTATTATCCTTAGTGGAAGGCTGGAATAAAAATGAAGTGACATCCAGGTGCACTTGCAATGCCCACAGACATCTTATCTGCCTACGGGAGAGGGTTGGCCTCAGACCTGGTGGACAGTGCTTGCATTAGCTGAACGGCCCCAGTTGTGCTATCTCAAGGCAAGCCTACCTCCTCCCAGGCACCTGCCACCCCAGTCCAAGTGGGGGCCAGCCTAGGAAACCATCTCCATAGCCAGTTCTCCTAAGTGCCATCCAAAGCCCTGAACTCGGATTGGAGTGGTAGCAAATGACCAGACAGGGCCAGTCACAGGCTTTCCCCAGGTTTCTGCCTGTGGCAGACAGGAGAAAAAGCAGCATGCACATAGCTCAGGCGGGACTAATCACGTGCTAGGGCTGCTGCCAATCTTCTCTGACATGGAGGCTCTGAGCCAAGCCCAGCCTTCGAGCGTGGCCTGGCCCTCCAGGAATTCCCATTACTCCAAGACTGGCACAAAGGGGGTCACTCGGGCTCCCCAGTGCGGGCAGAGGAGGTAAGGAATTGAGATGGGATTTTCTTTTTTTTTTTTATTTTATTTTATTTTTTAGTGTGTGTTCACCACAGAGAAACAGAAGAAAGAGAAAGTGAGAAATCGCCCTCCGGGAGGGCTGGCCATAACACAATCCCTTCTTCATGCTCCCCTGAGGATTTCGGGCACACATGCACATGTACCTGGCATGCTTTTCAAGTCTCCAGGTCTGGGGCTCTAAATGTAGTTGTGCATATGGGAGTCCAGCGCCTTAACCACCATGCCACCTGCTGGCCCCAAGGGGGAATTGTCTTCGCCTGAGCTTTAGGCTGGTGGTTCTTGACCCTGGCTGCCCATGTTAGGAGTTTTGGAAAGTACAGGTGCCCAGGTCGCACCCTCAGAGGTTCTGACTTAACTAGCCAGGAGTGCAGACTGAGCAGAGATTTTTTTGTAATCTTTCCAGATAGTTTTAATGTGTACCAGAGACCTAGTAGAGTGGGTTCAGCTCCTTCCCCGACTTACCTCTCCTATGAGAATCCCTTCCCCAGCCCAGGGGAAGATGGTTTTCCCACTGCTAAGGGCAGCTAGAGAAGGAACTGGGCTTCTCTAAGCTCCACAAAGGAGGGACTGTATTCTGTTTATCACTGTGTTCCCGATGGTGCAGACTAGGGCTTAAACGGACAGAGGTGGGATGAGGTGGGTGCAACTGAATGAATAGATCCCTTCCCCTCCTACTTCCTGTGAGCCCTAAGCCTTCCAGGTGTGGTCTGCAGACTCACAACACTGCAGTACCAGGGAGACTGCTAGAAATGCAGGTTTCCAGGCCCTGCCCCAGAACCACTGAATGAGAATCTGCATTTTAAAAAGCTCTCCAGGGATTCTTGCACATGATTCTATCAATGGTCCTGCCACAGGGCAGTGGTTCTCCAGCTTCACTGCACATTAAAATTGCACATGGGGCAGGCCCTGTGGCACAATGGTTAGGTGATACATAGAGGAAGTCAGAGCCCACATAGCCAACAGGGGTTCGAATGCCAGCCCTGCAGGCTTCTCATGCACATGTGCCCGGGATCCTGCAAGGGTGGAGAATTGGAAGAGAAAGGTGGGGGCACGGCCAGGCCCTGCTGGGGAGCTTTTTCACTCTCCTTCTTCCACCTTGTCTCTCTTGAGTGTGTGTACATGCTCTCTATCACAATTTTTTAATTACCCATGATCCTTTGTGAGTGCTGAATGTCCCAGGCGACTCAGTGTACAGCCTGGATTCAGAACCCACTACCACAGACTCTCTGCCACAGCAGCCCCCACAAGGCCCAACCTAGGCTCTGACCCACTTGGGAGGTCCTGCCCCTGACCATCCTGCCCCCTCTTAGGATGAAGCCAACTTCCCTGCAACCCAGGAACCACCCACTGAGCTCTACAGAGATCTTGGGGTCAGGCTGCTAGGTTCGAATCCCAGTTGGTCACTTCCTAGCTAAGTGACCCTAAGCCAGTCACTCAAGTGCTCCGTGCCTCAGTTTCCCCTGTGTGCACAATGGAGCCAGCTAGAGAGAAAACAAACCTGCTCCCTAGGGCTGCATGAGAATGAAATGGCTTAATTGATCTAAATCATTCCAAACCGTGCCCCTGAAGTTTTCTGGGCCTCTGCCCTGGGCTTCCTAGTAAGAGTTGAGATGAAGAGACCCCAGGTTCTAAAACTCAGTTCTGGAAGCTTTCCATAGAGTGAAGAAGGAAGGCTAGTCACAATGTAGGGTCTGTCTTAGGAAAACCAAGACTGAAGAGGCTTAGCCAACCCCCTCTTCTTTTCATTACTTGCGCAGAGAAATTAGCATCACGAGTCCTTAGAGAGAGTCCCAGTGCCCAGAGTGAGGTCACTGAGAGAGAGGACTAAGGCGACTGGTCATATCACCCCCAAAATGTCCCCACCCATGGAATACAGGCCCAAGGCACCGTGCCTGGACCGGGCCAGCACCGTCCCACCGCAGTGGGGCCTCTCTGTGGACTCTCCTTGACCTACCCCAGGACTGCTTGAGTCCCATGACCCTTCTTCAGCACTCCAGACCATCTATGTGTGTGTGTGTGCGTGTGCGTGTGTGTGTGTGCACGCGTGTGTGTACAGCCTGCAGGTTCTGAGTGGAAAGATGGTGGCCCTGCCTTCCTCTAGAGAGCCGGCGCGGGCGCCCATCCCAGCTGCAAACGGGGCCGGGTGCCGCTCCAGGTCCCAGAGAGGCCGCCGGCCTCTGCGGCAGACCGCGGTGCGCGCTCCCCGCTCCAGCTCGCGGCTCGCCCGGCGGCCCGCGCACCCTCCCGGTGCAGCATGCGGGCGCTGTGACGTTCTCGGATAAATGCCGTGTAACTGTGTAGGCGAATGGGAGCTAAAAATAAGAACGGAAAATCTATCATTAAGGTATCATTGCGCCAGCGCAGCTATTTGAAGGCTCCCATGGTCCCCGGCGCCTGCGTTTGAAGCCCGCCTTCAGGCTTTGGGGGTATTTGCGAGAAAACTCCCAGCAGCAGCTCGCCAGCCAGACCTCAGGGCGCAGGGGGCGGCGCCAGTAATTATGGCAATGCTCAAAATAAAAGAAGATATACGCTCACCTCCCCCTGCCCATCGCACTCCCTGCGCTGTCCTCAGGTCGCTGGGGAAGCCACCGGCAGTGGGGCTACAGTTTGAAATGAAATGACCCAGCCGATTATGCAAACACTAGGGCTGCAAGCACTTTCAGATGTTTTCCCAGCCACCTTTCTCCATCCACCTCGAATTAGGAAAATTAAGTAATGGGGGCGGCGAGGGGGTGTGCTAGAGGAGAAAATGACATCGGGGACTTAACCCCAGGTCCACGATGCGCCGTGGTGGGGCGCAAGACACAAACTCCCGGGATGGAGAGCCTGCGGGGGTTCCACTGGGTTAAACGAAAATGGATCTAATTTGTTTTCTAGCACTCGAAGGAGATAAGGGGAGACGGCGGGGTCGCGGGGTGCCAGGAAGGAGCAGGATCTGAGTGTGTGCGCGTGTGTCCGGGGAGGGGAGGAGGCGCCAAGGTGCGGCCTGCGCGCGGCTCCGCGCCTCGCAGGAGCTGCGTGCGTGTCCCTGTCCGCGCTGCTGAAACGGGCTCTTCGAGGGATCGGCGTCACATGACTCCGCCTGCCCCTTGCCAACGCGCAGATCGCTGGCCCCTCAGTTTGCCGGGCACCAGGGGAGGGTCGGGCGGTATCTTCCGGGCCCCGGGGATCCGTGGATCGGAGAAGAGGTTCTAGCCGGGAATAGTACATCTGGATTCGAGAAGCCGCAGCGGCTCGGCGCCGGGTCCCCGAGGGGAGGTCTTTGGGGGGA